GGCTTGTTCGCGGATTATATCCGTAGCTCACAGCTCAAACGCGATGCTATATCAGTTAGCCTATCTATAGGATTACCACTGCCCTTACGGAGCTTAATTTTCAAATCTATTTTGCGTCGCATAGGTTATTTTAGTTGCGTTTTTTAAGACAGATTTTTAAATAACCTTTAAGATTTAATAATAAAGTATAAAAATGGCTCCAAACAAAATGGCTTTTAAACGTAGTGTTCGTAAGGCCTATTTAAGGGCGCTACAACGCTGAGTTCGTGTCTTCGTCAATTTATATTATATTACAATTATATATATGAAGTTATTTATGTATGTACATATTTTGTGTTTATTATATATTTTTATACAGTATGTTATACAGTATTTATTATTACTATTAGTTATTTATTTTGTTTGTTTTTTTTTGCATATTACACAGGCCCATTTTCGCTGAGCTTACATTTAACCCAAAGGTTGACTGGGAGAAAATGCCATATGGCATTAAGTCCGCCTTATGTACCTTATTTTGTGTGCATTAAAGTGTAAAATAAATAAATAAGATTATTTGGTACAAATGGATCCGATTTTAAGTCAGTTTTGACTTTTTGACCAATGATAGATATTGATAGTGTTATTTTTATTTAGAATGGAAGTTAATTTTAAGTTAGTTGGTTAATTGAACAACCGCTTATGATCAATAGAGACAGAAACAAATAAACACAAGATATACATAATATCTTTATTAACTCGTTAATCTTAATTAACAATCACCATATCAATAAAAACTTGTTCCATAACTTTCTACACCTGTGTCCACAAAAAGGTCATATTCAATTAAATAATGCTTTATCAAAATGAACATCACTCACCAAAAAATGAAACGTTCATTCGAAGTCATTGCAGCGTGAAAACACATCAGCTTACTGAACGAACGAAAATAATAAAATTATTTTATTTTATTTATTACCACAACGAAAAACCGATAAAAGATAATCAGATAAAGGTTTTAATTCGACGAGAAAAAATAAATTAATAAAGTTCGCGTATAGTCTGTGGGAATGTTGACAGTTGTGTGCGAGTGAGACACAAGATAAGTAGGTACTCGTAATATAAGTTGGAATGACACAAGTGATGCAAACTAGAAAGGATTAATGAACATGAGTTTTATGAAACAAAAGACGTTCGTTCTAGTTTTAGAGACAAGGAACGCTGTTTATTCTTTTGACATCTATATACAAATGTACTCTGTGTTTGACATTGTTTTTCACTTTGCAATGACAGGTTATTGGATACCTGACCCACTGGGAACTAATATAAAACTTTTCAATTTTGACCTATCTTTTATTTAGGATTTCGTTTTTGTTCACAGTAAAGGATTTAATCAGTCACATAATAATAAGCTGCTTAGTACGCTCAAGTGTTTCTCCGCAACAACATGGGTACTCAAGAACCGCCACTCACTACAGATTCCAACTCACACATTCACCTTAATCACTTAAACCTTTCTTTAGGCAAGCAGACTATCCAACGTGCTATCGATTCTCAATCAACTGTGAGTCGAAAAAGTGCGGTCTGTAAGCGGTTTATCACTTGGCAACTAAACCCGCTTGATCAAGTTAAGCTCCAAGATTCGAACAATTGGAGACGCGTCGATGTCGTCCCGCATTCGTTTGCTGCACGTGACGTGGGTGCTAAACTGGAACATTTCTGGACAAAGTACAAGCTGACAATTGTGGGCTGTTCAATGTGTCCGGGGTGGAGACGACACGATAGACCATAAATTGCAGTAAAAAACCGTAAAAGAATTGCATAGGTACAAAGCCTTTTTATGAAACAGGAGGCACACGAGCAAAATCGAATACGAATGCTAGCCTTTTAAAAAGGAATACGTTTTTTACTTTATGGTTTGAAGGTCGTATTGGTTCGGAATTATCGCCGACGATAGACCAATCCACAGTTTTGCTGTGCGAGGCAGGAAGCCACGAGTAAAGCGCATAGTTGTGGTCTGCCAACCATCTGATGGGGATGGATATGCTGTGGTAAAGGTCAATGGCGAAAAGACGCGGCAGGTATCAGACCAAACCCTCAGAGCCTGGTCATCTAGTGACCACGACTCTAAGAAGGTACTTATCGAGTTATTGAAAATATTGTTCACAATAAATAAAAAAGATTAAATAATAGCGTATTTTTTTAATGAGATCATGAAATTAAATGCCTAATTGGTTTTGTACGTAGCTGCATGTGCACTTTGTGGGCTCAATCCGGAGAAGTAATAAAATTCGAATTCAACAATCACTTAATCATTATACACTATGGTCTACGATCAGTCTTCAAAGAAACTGTTTAGTAAATGAATAGAAAATAGAAGAATTTACAATAAAAATAAAGATTTCTTAAAACCTTTATCCGATATTTTTCATCGCGTTGTATAAAAGTCTCGACCACTTGAGCGGCTCACTACAAACTCTGTCGAAGTGTCTCTAACAACCGGCCGTGGTCCGCAAATACGGATTTACTTAAGTTTGTCCATTTTATCCACTTTGCTCGCTAAACTATTATGATAATCGGTTCCACTGGATAACAGTTTGTGTATTATTACTTGGAAGTATTTGAAGACAAGTGCTGTTGTCATTAGTTGTAAATCTATTTGTATTAATTGTCTTTTTAATTGGGTATGATAGTTGCTGTCGATAGTTTGAATCAAAATCATCTGTAACGTTTTTTTTGTCTTTTCAAATTACACGAATCTAGTTTCATATTGGCCCTATAAAAATTTAAACTATGTTCAATTTAGCAGTCCTTACCCTCACCACCTCTGAATTTTTCATGTAAATGTGAAATATTCCAGCAAAGTCAAAGCTTTCCGTAAAATAAGTAAACCTTTGATATTTTTATTGATTGCTCCACCTTTAAAGGCTCATTATACTTCGAAATCCTACGGAAAGGCGAGCCAACCCGTCAAATTTGAATTTCCGTACCGCAAATTAAGAGAAGGATAGAAGATCTTATTCCAAAGGGAGGGAAAGAAATAGAAAATGTTATTCGGAATAAAAATGTGACTGACGAATTCAGCTACTTACATATTTTTGCGCCATCAAAAGGAGTCGATGGTTCTCGAATAATTTTGAATTGAGAATACGCTTTGGCGCCAAACGCCTTTTGTGCAATCAATATTCAATGCTGGCAACACTGCTATTCTAAGTTGGAATTTGAAATCAATCACATGAATTTTCAATACTTCGTGTGAATGTGGTGTCTTGAGAATTGCAGCGTCAAAGTATGAATTGAGATCATTGTTTAGATTAAATTATCATAATCACACTTTAAATGATGAGTCCCCTGAAATTGGCGGTGACCTTTTTTTTATGGCATAAGCCGGTAAACGATCAGACGGATCACCTGATGGTAAGCAATCGGCGTCGCCCATGGACACCTGGAACACCAGTGTGCAAAAGCAAGGCACTCCCACACTTAAATTTTCAATATCATACTATAGAGTCTGTCTGTTACTAGGCAGTCACTCTTGTGGCCACTATAAAGAGGCGTAGGTGCACAATGCGTATTTAATTTATGTGTATGCAAAAAATCTCAACTATAAATAAATTATATTTAAGTCGTCTGAATTACGAGAAGGTTCCTACGGAAAATATTGAAATTCGAAATCTCCAATAATGCTCCGTACTTCATAAAACGATTATTGGCATTTTAGATTTTCGTTTGTTTAGCTCAAACCTTCGTGGTAGGCAGTAACACTTGCTACCACTCCGCCAACGAGATACTTTATTTTTATGTCACCATTTAAACCTGGTATGTGAAATTATTTTTATTATAAAAATCATACCTCTATGGCCATCTGTTCGCTCTAAAGAGAAACAAACAGTCGAGATACTGACTCAACATTTAAAATAGCGCCTTTACACATTCCCCTATTCGAATAAAATTAATACCAACCCCAACTCCAAAGTTTACGTTAGCGACAAGAGAGAGCGTTGTTTATAAAATGACACCAGCGACATCTACCAAGTTGTGATTACCAGCGTAAACTGTCAAATTTTAAGAACAACGCCATCTATGGAGAACATTGAAAGTTACTAACTGGTAGAGCTTTAGAGTAAAGCTTTTGTACGCGACAAATATAGCGAGCTTTAGGTTTGACTTCCATGTCGAGAACTTTTGCGTGTATAAAATGTAGATGGCGTTAGGTGTGTTATACTATTTAAAGCTTAGGAGCTTTTGTCGTATGTTTTTTTGCAAACAGTACACGAGTGCTGAGTGGTTTAGATTTTGTAGTCGTGTAAGCAGAATATACGCCGGAATACACAATTGAATAAATGCAATATTGAATATTTTTTCTATGGAATAAGCAATTGCCGGCAAAAAATAAACAAAATAAAAAAAAAAATCCAATCAGCACCGCCCATGGGCATTCAAAAGACCAGAGTTGTTATAAGTGCGTTACCGACTTTCTGGGGATTATGAATTTGAAGAATGAGAAAATGAGAGAATAACATAGAGATCAATGAGACAATGAGAATTATAAATTAATATGATTAAATATTTTCAGGGTTATAAGTCCCCGATTTCCTAGTATTGGAAAAATAATACAAAAAGTATTATCACAATTATATTAACTTTCCTGAAGATAATTTATCAAATTTTGATGATGTAAAACTGTATGTGTTAAATTGTAACTAATTAATGTAAGTGATGATTGGTGCTATTTAATTTAAAAGCTCTTAACATGGTGGTATTGTGTACTTTGACATACCAACACCTAACAATTAAACTACAATTAACAATCTTCACACGCTAATTCTATCAACAACACATTTTAAATGTACTGTTTACTATTCAATTGTTCTCATTTTTGTTCTTATTAGACAAAAAATTAAAGGAAGAAACATAATTAATATTAATTGGGAGCGCGCATCCCATGGTCGGGCCCATACAATACAATGTATCACCATGATGTATGGGGTGGCTACACTGTTCAGTAACCCGCGGACCGCCGCGCCGCGCGCACGTTCGTCCCATTCCTCGAATTTCGAAAAAACATCGCGTTGTAACATTTGTATGAAGTTTTAGTGAATAGTTGATCAGTGATGGTTTTCAAAAAGACTTTTTGGATTTTGTTCGTAGATGTCATGCTCGTGAGAAGTGTCATGAATGGAGGTAAGTGTCATTATATGTTATCTGATTATAAATTGTGGGAATAATATACGGGACAATGTTTTTAAGGGGTGCTTTTATAACCCTTTGACCGTTTGAGTCACATATGGGCTTTACGCACAGCTGTTTGTTAAACAAGCACTTTAATAATAATGATTATAAAACTACGATTGTGTTGCATGAATCATTTTTGCCTTAAAATCCTAGCGGCCGTTTTTGCACATAGTTTTTGAGCTTTATTTTTTACTTTTAACACAGATTTGGTAACATATAGAGTGCTACGGAAATGTTTTTAATTACTTTACACTTCATTAGCACAAAACACTAGTATAGTGCAAAAAATTAATACGAATGTCTAATAGGCACTTATTGTGTATTCTACAACTGTCTATTAATAGTTGAAGCTCAATTAAAACACGTACGCAGTTAATCATCCATGAATGCCTTTGCCTTCAGCTTCCACGGACCATTGAGAACAGTGGCTGAGAGATTATGACCACTAATTGAATCGATTACCACTTGAACCCATCTAATTATAACGTAGAGGATGTCTGTAGTTACTGTAATTACTTAGCCTAGGATTATGTAGCAAAGATTGTTTTGTACTGTGTGTTCACAAACAGATAACTCTTTATTTATTTTTTAATGTAATGATAAATACAATGATTACATTATGTTATATCACTATACAGGTGGATAAGAACAAGAAAAAAAATGAAAATCGCGAACAATGAAATAATACTTTTTAGTTGTTTACTAGGTATTACATTATTGAATAATAATATACTGTCAAACTGTCCATCTCTTACTTATTTATTTTAATACCTACTTCTGTAATTGTTTTCACAATAATAAATAGTGGGAATAGTTTGACACACTTCGTCAAGAGATGGCGCCACTAGTGCTCTTTTTTAAGTTTGTGTACATGATTAACTTTACAATACTCAAATTATGACTTAGTACAAGAACATAAGAATGTATTTGACTTTATGTCAATAAATATTTCATTCTGTAATCGTCAGCAGAGACACACCGCAAAAAATCCAATCCCGATCCCATATTTATCAATACCTAGCTGGCTGACCGGTTATAGGTACTTATAATTTTGCTTATAGACATCCTCTTCCGACGTACCCATCAATATACTGCCATTATGAATTACGTTATTATCCCGGAACCAAATCCGGTGTACTATAATAGGTAATATGTACGCAACGCACTACGCACTTTATGATGACTCAAATTGGCTTAGGTAGGTATGCGTTATTCAATAACCTATTACTTACTTATTTAGTATTAACTGTTACATGTCTAGACTATAAAAGACAATAGTGGGATTCTTTGTCACTTCGTTTGATTGGTATAGAGCAACGACTGGTGGGAGATAGCTAGACGGTAAATTCTTGCCATCGCGAAGGACACACCGGGCGTCGGGGATCGCGGGACGATCTCCGGCCACCGTAAACGCGGGCCTGCGGACGGCGAGCATGATTTCCCCCCTTAACTCGTCGAGTACCGGTTTTGCAGACACAATTATAGAACAATAGGTTGCGGTCACCGGTGACCGCTTGGTATTTGACAGTTTAAAAAGAAAAAAAAAAGACGGTAAATTCTTGCGTTAGTTACTTACTTTGTCATTTCGTTGTGTTGAAATTGGAACTCGATTTTTAAGCATGGTCTCGCCTGTATCCCTTGGATATTGACTAATTTGTGGCGATACATCGTTATCTACATAATGTCACAAGTACATTAGACTCAGATTCAAAATAAAAATCTATGGATCACGTAAAGATATCATATGTTTCGACCGACAGGGCACCGAACACATAGCGCGGCAGCGTATCAGACAGCCATTAGACCTACAGAGCAGATCGTAGATTTAATTGTTTATTGATTAAGCTGGAATGCATGTTTTATCTAAATTATGACGTCACAACTTACAATTACATATAAGGAAACCTTCGATCAACTACAACTAACAGTTGATCCAAGAAGGAAATTCTCGTTTTTGATATTATTGAATTTTAGCCTATTTATGAGACCAGCTAACATGATGCAATGTAGACCCGCAGATACTGATCTCCTGTTGAACAAAAGTCCTTGGCGCAGTAACAATGAGGCTTGAGGAGATAAAGCGGTAATCCCCTCGGATGACGAGACGGTAACCGGAGTAGGGCATTGTGTGATGCAGCTGCCCGTAGTACCCATACACCTGCAACTACACTCTAATTTCATGTACTTGTATAATGGTAGACACAATACAATGCCTTTTTAATCTTATTAAGTTTAGAAATTCTCACTTGAGAGACTGCGACACGAGGGGTCTCGGGTTCGATTTCCGGGTCGGGCAAAGTACTACTGGGTTTTTTAATAAAATCTCAGTAGTCTCAGTAGAAGTCTGGAATTGTGCCCGGTATATGGCAATAGGCTCACCGCCTATTACACCCATGGAATAGGGGGTGTTACATTGTACAGTGGCATTTAAGTGCCGTAATGTACACTTCTGATGACCCCTTCGGGGGTATCTAAAAGGCGTGATGTTGTAAGTTGTGTGTGTGAAATTCTCACTTTTAAGAATAGTGTTTTTACAACTGTAACTTCAGGGGAGAGTCTAACAAGAAATGGATGAATCGTGTGTGCTCGATTAATTAAACAAAAGGTGTTCGTAAAAACTTTGCTTTAACTTAATTGACTGATCGGTTGGCGCATTGAAGATTGACCAGACAATCGGTTACCGCGCGATGTGCACGAGCCGAACCATTGAACTGATGTTCCAAAATGTTTTCTTGAGCCCTCATTTTCCAAGACGATTAATAGTTTGAATACCCTCTTATTTCTAGATCTTTTGGTGTTTCTTATCGATCTGATCAATCCAGCAAGTTTATCGAACATTAACTATACATATTACATACCCATTACAATCAAATGAAATCACTTTATTGCAATGCCCTTAAATGCAACTAAAACTAACTGCCGTCATCCATAAATTCCTCACACCTCGTCGATATCACTGGCAACATACCTCACATAACTGGAGTGCGATCACGTTGAGCTCAGATACTGACAGGATGTCAGTCCATCAGTTACGCGTAGTAACTCGTCCTCTCATACAAATACTTGCGTGGAATAATAAGCAGTATTTACATTCCATATTTTCATTCATATCGGTGGCACATGGAGATTGTAAGCCAGTTAAGGATTAGCTTTTATAGATAGAGATAAAATCTATTTATACCCAGCGCCTTTAGCCAAACGCCACTTTAGCGCTTGTCTACAGAGATAGTAGAAAACTAAATGTATGGGGATGACACTGGCAAGTGTCAAAATTTACGTCAATTCCATATAATTTAGTTTTCTATTCTACATGTAGACAAGCGCTAAATTTCATTTGGCTACTGCTGGTTAGACTTGGTGAACACGATAATATCGACTTCGCTTCACAAGTGAAATAACAGTTGACTTGATAAAGATTATGATAGATACGTATGTGAGGTATATTACGGTATACAACTTTAGAATTGAAGTCGAAATTTATAATCAGTTTTAATCCAAATATCTTTGAATCAATCTCTTGACAGATATTTAATAGAATATTTTTTTTAACTAAATAAAGTTTGTTATTCGATTCGGCGATTAGTGAGACCCTTGGAAATCCTTATAGACAATGGACTAAGGTCTAAAATTGGTTCAATGAATTTTACACACTGGCTTAGCTTGACGTCAATTTATTTTTGTTCTTCGTATTTTTCTCAAGTTTTTTATTTTACTAGTAATAGCTTTACAAACATTTATTCCACTGTTTTGTCCTAAGTATCAATGTGGCTATTTTGTCCTAAATATAGTTATTGCATTATTCCACCAATCACAGCATTTAGCTCTCCCTAGTACGAAGGTATTAGCGCAATGGACACTGCTCATCCACTTGATGTAATCCTTGCGTCTCCACTTATGACGCCCTGGGTGGTACAGCCAAAGACCGTAAAGCAAGGGTGGCCAAAAATAGGGGATATATTTTGCAAACACCAGCACGTCCTGCTACCCCTCATGTTCAACGGAGATTCGGCTTTATTGCAAGAGGTATATAGCTGAGAATCTATTGAAGAAAGTTTGATAGATTGGGATAGGTTTAGGTGATGGTATTTAGTTCGAAATAAATCTGTGTTGACGATTTTTTCGAAGATTTTAACAATGGATGCATTAGTGATATTAAGTAGTCGTTTATGATGAATATTAAGCATACATTATATCGAGTTCAAAAACTATGTGTAGGTCAATCTCTGCCGATACTTTCGCAACAACTCGACTTCGGAAACAAGTAGGTATCTATTTACCCATGTAAAATTTAATGTAAAGGCTCATTTGCATGCAAACGTGCCCTTTAAGATTGCAGTTATAAGTAAAATAATCATAAATATTGGTACTAATTACACAGATTAAAGTCGTCAAATCAAGCGAAGGTAATATTATCGTAACGTCCTGTTATCATAAACATAACACGGTTTTAAAGGTAATTACGAAACAAGATGTACACAGAGCACGTAAGATAACCTAATCAGTGAAATTTTGTTAATAGATTTTGAGCCTTAAAACTTTGTGATATATTAAATAATTTTGACTGTTGTGATTAGCATGATGTGCCTTCCTATGTAACATACATCTTTCAATCTTTAATGAGTTGAAAAATTTGTCATGTTCATTGTATGTACCAGGTACTCGATTTTCACCAGTAATTTTATTTAATTTCCAGACAATAAGAGGTCAATCTATTGTCATATACTAGCCACGATACCAAAGTCTTTCCTATAACTTAGAATAAAAAAAACACCTACTATTACATACTTTTTCCAACCCTGAAATATAACATAAGTCCTCTTGTTTAGGACTGATGCTCGATACAGAGTCGCGGAAGACCTAGCGGTTGCCTGGTCTCTGGCTCGAAGAGCAGAAGTAGGAACGGGGTGGTTTTTAGTCATTAAGAGTCTGACACTCCATCCAGGCGGTAGAAATTATTCGATGGTTTTCTCCTCTTAAAACAGACCTCTTTTTTATACTTGATAGGTCGACGTTTGACACCATCTCGCCTAGTGATAAGCGATGATGTGGCCGACAATGAAGCACGCCTACCTCTTGCTCGATAGTCACGCTTACAACCCTACCAACTAAGTTCCCAGTCCACAGAGATGATGTATGTTAGTATGTGAGAACGTACATCCTTAATTTATTAAACTCAATTACTAGATGAGTCTCATCCTCTGATTAAGTGGGTTAGAGTTGTGTGAGCGGGTTCCTAGCTTAACCGTCCTTGCCGGTTTTGTATTGTAACACATAACGTAGGAACAAACATATTATTATTTATTTAATTATGTTGTGTATCTAGAGATGTAGATTCATTGTGCATTTTCTGTCGCTTATGCCACGGGCAATGCTATAAGGATTTGTTTGACCTGATACCTGCCGCGTCTTTTCGCAATCGACCCTCACGTCAGCATATCCACCCCCATCAAATAGATAGTCTGCAGACCAGAACTGTGCGCTTTTCTCGTAGCTTTCTCAGCGAAACTGTGGAATGATCTGTTGTTGGCGCTATTTCCAAACCGATACGACTTTCACCCCTTCAAGAAAAGAGCGTATTCTTTTTTAAAAAGCCGTCAACGGACCTGTGACTCCTCTGGTGTTGCGGGTGACCATGGGTGGCGCTGATCGCTTACCATCAGGTGATCCGTCTGCTTGTTTGCCTCCTATTCCATAAAAAAGGCAACTTTGTTGGTAATAATGTCTTTTATTTTGATTTTAATTCCTTTTATTATACATGAAGTTGCAGTTTTTTATTTTTATTTATTTTATTTATTTTAAGAAGGCTTACAGACTAATACATAGAAAATGATTTTAAAAGAGTATAATATTGACAAATTGCTAATTACAAGCCTCCACATATGGATAAAAAGAAAAAACAAAAAGACACAAAAAAGTTTTGTTTTGTTTTTGTTGTGTCTTAGTCGCAAGATACTTCTTTGAGTCACCAAATAATTACCAATAATTAGGGAATAGCTTCGTTAATGTAAATTAAACTGAATGTATTTAATAAAAAACATAGTTATCTAATAAAAACGGGTTCAATAATCCTGTACCAACATAACTAAGAATATGCGGATATTCACATTTAAACACATACCCATAAATATCCATCTTAGAACAGATATTAATACTACCATATTTATGAGATCCTTAACTAGGTACTAAGCCATAAAATAGTGTATTCATAAATCTACTGAAATCATAACGCACTTAATGGCTTTGACTTGTCTCATAAAATGCCGTGTCCAGTCGTACTAGGACCAATTACACTAACTTTTTAATAGTCGTCTGTTTATTGAGTACAATAGTTAAACTACATTGTACACATCAATTTGTGTGTTTAAAAAAACTTGAGACTAACAAGAGTGGCCACGAGTAGGTGACAACTACTGTGACACGCAACAACGATTAATTACATTACCTTTTTAAAAATTGCTAGTTATATTTATGTTTATATTCGAACTAGATTTAGTAGAAGTGATGCCTGTTAGATGGTAGTTTTATACACGGTTTAAAAAAACGTAGGTATACGTAATTTTTGGTACCATAACATCAGGGATACGCGACGTCGGGACGGGCGAGTAATTGACGCTACATACTAGAAGTCCAACGTCTGTTCTCTTACTAACATAACAGAACATCACGCCTTTTATCCCCGAAGGGGTAGGCAGAGGTGCACATTATGCCACTGTATAATATAACACCCACTTTCCACTATTTATGTTATGAGTCCCATGAAATAGAGAGTGAGCCTATTGCCATACATCGGGCACAATTCCAGACTCCGTGCTACTATTGAGAATTTTTTAAAAACCCGGTAATACTTTGCCCGACCCGGGAATCGAACAGGGACCCCTTGCCCGGCAGTCGCACTCGACCAACGAGACAGTCTCTTACTAAAGTTAAAAACTTAGTTCTCTTAGTAAAACTCCATAAAATCTTATCAAAACATACGTCTTCCTATATCAAAATGACCTATTAATATGGAACATACGTCATGTATCTACAAATATCATTTAAGTCGAGATTCTACTTAGATCTACACTTTGGAACGAGCAAATAGCTTCACTTGAGGACTGACCTACAGACTGACATTTTTTTCTTATTATTAAATATTTAAATATTTTGTTGTGACGTTCAAAAGTGCCTTCCTGGTCTAATTGAAATAAATGATTTTGACTTTGACTTTGATTCGGTCACCATTCTGCCAGTGTACATACACGCATCCTATGTATGTGGCAACTCTGCGTTCGATTATATCGCGTCGTTGATTTCTGTGTGTAACTGAGCGTATGGGATTGACAGGTGGTTTAGGATATGTTATCGGATTCAATAAACTTTGCACACGGATCTAATGATATGATTGTACTTAGGGAGATTGTAATATATACTTTTATTACTATAAAAAAAAAACAAAACACATTTAATGACGAGTTTTCGATTTTCCTTTTTTAAAAAAAAACGTTGATTCGCACTAGGATTGTCTCCTCTGTCGTGGGTGCGTTTACAAACATACAAGTTCACATAAACATGACACTCAGACTCGAAATAGCAATTTATGGGTCACACAAAGAGTTGTTCCGTGCGGGAATCGAACCCGCGACACGTTGCTTGGCAGCCGGTTGCCCAGCTACTGCACCAACCGCGCAGTCAAAGCTTAACATAGGGTTGAAATTTAGCTATTTACAAAGGTAGTGATAAACAGTCTAACGTAGTGTAAAGGCTATAAAAAAACAAAAAAAAGAGATGCTACTAGTCATTATGTATTTAAATTGTGTTTCATATTTAACCGACCACACATACATAATTGCATAATTCATCAAAGATCAAAACAATATTCATACATTTTAACTCCGGCCAGCATCACGATGAATCATCTAGAGGCACCGTTGATTACAGTATTATCTAGTCTATTTTCATAGCGCAGATACGCGCACTTAAATATTTATGATGTTAGTTAAAAACATGCAGTAGCACCGGCTGGCTAACGCGATGTTATCTCAACTATTTATCAACGAAAAGACAGCTACTGTAGGGCTCAAGTTACGCTTTGAGACACCGACAGATGAATGCTAAAATGTTTGGGATTTTTATGAGTATATTTATGCCCCAATGGATTGATGTATTTTATTTTTTGTTTAGTATTTAACTCTCTGTTACGTAACTGTTGCTGGAATGCGTTTTTTAACTAAAGTACCTACTTGTAAAAAATAACATGTTAATAAATTTAATTTTGGTTATAGTTTTAAGTTCACTTTTCACTTATCACTATAAAGTTGTTTGCTCCCAAGAAATAAACTAGGCTGAACTACGATCATAATAAAGTGATGATGTTCTAGTAAGGATACCTATTCAATATCAAAACATTAATGTGACCAATTTGTTCCAGATCCAGAACACACAACAAAAGAAACGAGACCAGAATACATACACCCTGACGGTCTACTAAACTTCGATCCATATCTATCGGACTTCAAAACAGAGACAGAAGAAGAAGACGACTACATACCATTACCAGAAAACGAAGAAACGATAGATGGTCTCCCTATTTTCTTGTTAGAACCCAAAAATTCATACGTTCTAAGAAATAGACCCGCGAATTTGCTCTGTAGGGCAGCAAATGCCCTCGAAGTGTATTTCAAGTGCAATGATGTGAGGTCCGATAAAAGTGTTCAATTGGAACATGTGGACCCCCATAATGGAGTCAGGGTTGTTGAAGCAGAACTCAATGTGACAAGAAATGAGCTGGACGGAGCCAATAAAAAGTATGGCTGCAAATGTTACGCGTGGAACAGTAAGGGCAAGATCAGGAGTCAAGCTGTTTTAATTGAATTTGCTTGTAAGTATCCTCATTTACATCTTCATTTATTTTTATGGCATAATTTTCTAAGTAATTATTAAACTATGAAGCTAAAATGAGACATTAATTTCCATTAGTTTCCTTTCAGCTACGTTTATGATTGCTACAAAATTCACTATTAGAAAATATTTTAAGATATTTCAAAATTTACATTTATTGGTACAACGTAATAAAATATTATATTTGATTAAAATCGCACTTAAAATGTACATATTGCATGTTATTCTAAAGTTGACCCTATTTCATTTACGATTTCGCATGCATGTACAACATCGTTTGGAGAATTCCTTCACCAAAAACTCTTTTCCCTAGCCAACTAGGTCTGCGTGGCAAACTAGTTCTCCAAACTTTAAAACTAGACTTTACAGCTTTGTTTCCTAACTTAAAACTAGACTTTATAGCTTTGTTTCCTAACTTAAAACTTCGAGAACCAGTTAAAAAGCCCCATCTGTTTAAAAATGTAGTCGCGGAAATGTTGTGAACATGTCAAAAATGAATGAGGCACTTACGAAGTTATGAATAAGACTTTACCCCATAATTATAATAAAGAATGTAATTAAAAATCTTAATCTCATGAATACAGTAATTAAAAGTAACTAAAAGAGTTTGAATTATTAATAGCTGACGATACAACGCAAAATGTGGGTGGAACAAGCGGTTTTATTATATTAATGTTCATGGTGAACTTAGAGAACGTGGCAGCTGGCAGTTCTCGATGTTAAAATACAGACTATTGAGCGATCTAACTTTTGGGGACTCCATTTAACTTACATAAAACGCCAGTAGTGTTCTGAACAGGTTGATTGAAATAAACTTTCTTTTCTATCAACTTTAAAACAATAGTTTCTTTTTAAAACCTTCGTAATAATGATTGATTGGAGTTCCATTGTGGCAATGTGTTTAGTTTATCTTTACAAACGTTTACCGTTACCGTATCAAGCCCTTCCTCATAAATATTCCAACCCAACAGGTAAAATTAAAAAGTTTACGATCACCGTAAGTAGAACTAAAAGCCGTGCCGCGATCCGTTTTGTTTTCATTAATATCTATTTTGTTTCTACAAGTTAATAGTTTCCGTTGCTTAACGATGTTCTCTTTCATACTTATTAACATTCAAATGTTTCTATTATTTAGTAAACGATACGCTCGCAGCGGTTTTCGGATCAACAGATCAACATTTTTTGTAAATTATGCTAATGAGCTAGTTAATCAATTTTATAAATACGTTCCAGTATTGAAAGTTATGACATAATCTTTAAGCCGCGGGCAGTAACTCCCATTGTACGAAGCAATAAAACTTGGTTCATTAATGGATAACCATTGAATGTCTTCTATCCAAGTATACATTCATTAATACAGCGACAGAAAACATCTAACCATGGAATAGTTTCACCATCAGTTCCAGTCGTCTCTACCATCCTATCCAAATAACCTTGTTTATACATAAAACGACTAGTAAGATAACTTCCTGAAAAAACAACTATAAACTTGATAATCACCCAGAACCAGCTCTTAGCACTAAATGAGCAGCATCTCTGTCAATATATTCAATATAAAATTCAAAGAACAAGTTGTACGCCACCGTGCAAGTAATTTAATTTAATTTACCATGCTTAGCCTTATGCAGCGAACTGAATTCTAAGCGGTCACACTAGTTGTGTCACAGAACACCCGTATAACAGTATCGTCTTAGGTTTACAGGACAGGTTGCGTCGCTTTATAGTACTTAAACTTGTTTCTGTCTCTTCGAACCAGCACTTGTTTCATACATTTTATCACTGTGTTTATTATAGAAATCTTTGTACAGCTTCGGTCTAGCTAGTGCGGTGACATTTGCATTAAAAGTTACATCATTAGTATTTAAATGGTCATGCACAGTGCTATTAGCTGTGTAAAATAATTTTATCGACACTGTAATTGAAGAAGAATAGAAAATTCAATTTGGTTGAACCGCAATCTAACGAAGCTCATTCGTCATAACTTCGTAATTAAATCTTTACAGTTGAAAAACAAAACAAATGTTACCAAAACGTAACGTATAAATTGTAACAATAAGGAGAAAGACAAAAATAAAGTGGACTGCAGACAATTAAGAGGCACGCCCATTGTCTAGAAATAAACACCCCACGCCGCGAGTCAACACGCCATGTTAACGAAAGAAATAATAAACCAAATGACAATTTTGAAAAACTTGACTATTTTAACGAGTCTAACTTCATAGTGTATAGTATATAGAAGATTATCTAGGTTAAGGTGACTAGAAAGGATGGTGAAAAAGGACACGATTTTGTTATGTATTCAGAAGGAATAAAAGAAATAAAAATGAAGCCTTTTCTTAAAGCCATTCGTTTTCAAATCAATAACGTGAGCGGAAACTTTCCAAAAAAAGTATTTGGAACATTCTGGGAAAAAGAGAAATTTCTTAATATGTAGTTTGTCACCCTCAGTAACAGTCGAACTTACTTTTAATTTACCAGACTGTTTCGTATCGAATAACTCAACTTTTAACGATACAATTCGAAGAGAGGTGTCCAAAATTTTTTTACGACTATTTTTATCTTCATCCCTCGTTTTTTAAAGAGGGTGGGTAACGGAACCATTATATGGAGGAAACATTATTTCCGCTCGTTAACTCGAGCACTTTGCACTTTGATGAATGCTCACTAGCTTTCTATTTGTGATACGAGGGTGGATCAGCATTTGTTCTAGTGAAAGTTTCCGAAGAAAGTGGTTCGTCAGTTTTCTATTTGTTAATGATTTCACTTGACATGACTGTATGTAAGTGCATGAAACGAGCAACGTCGGTTTTCATGCTTACTTTGGTAGCTAACGGCTCTTTCATTTATAAGTGATGAGTGCTTCTGTTTTCCTTAAAAGTGAATCATCAGTAATTGATAGATAAATCTATTCATCGACTATAATAATCCCATTATCAGTTTCATATCCCTGGAAGATTCTACTTCAAATTTTAATGATCTTTTCTTTTTAGACATAAAGAAGCAGTTCCTACAGCAGCCTCTATCATCCACAATAGAAGCTGGTAGAGGAGTAACGTTCAGATGTGTGCCGCCTCCCGCAGCACCACCACCTACCATCAAATGGACCAGAAATGGATTGCCTATTGAACCCACTGTTGAAACTCTTGTATTACCAAAAGTTGGTTTGCAGGTAATTTCCAAATAGGTATTTTCTTTTAAACAACTACATTCAAACGTTAATTATCATGACACAAAATGTGTTTTGGGATCTGATGGACCTGTAATGGTGTACATCATAATATTAGTAAGAGATTAGTATTATAGAACCATAACACTTATATTTTTATAACAACTATCATAATAAATTAACTAAAAATCGCGTGAATGATTTTTAGTTAATAACGCTTATAAATTTACCCCAAGCATAGCATATTGATGAGATTCTAAATTAGACCTCTTGTCTTTAAACGCATATAATTACCATAAGTAATTAATAATTATGAAAGTGCCATCAAATGATCTGATTCATTGCGTAATGTGTAGGACATGGCCAACTACACTTGTGTGGCGGAAAACATCGCAGGTCGGCGGGAGTCCGACGTCGCTGTTTTGTCTGTGTACGGTATGTTGACATAGCTTTTATATTATTAGCCATTATTATAGTCGGCCGAGCCACCGGTGATCTAACTTGTAATGTATTTTGTTATTCAATGTAATCACAATATCAATTATTATACCATAGCAATCATGTAATAATATGTAAATGTAGTAAGTAGACCAACTTGATATTACGTTAACAACGAAATATTCAGTATCAAAATTGAAAGGAAGATGCAAATATATTTGAAAATTGAACAAGATAAAAAACAGCGATTGCTGCAGAGGCAAATACCGTACCAAGGATTTAAAAGCATACTATTATTCAGTTAACGGTGGGTGGTCAGAATGGTCACCGTGGGCACCATGTCGATGTGGATCCACCACGAGTGGCCGTCGCCGGTCACGCAGCTGCACTGAGCCACCTCCAGCAAACGGTGGAGCTCCATGTAGAGGACACTCTTCACAGAGCGATGAGGATTGTGTCACATGTCAAAATAGTAAGTAAAGATTAAGTAGTCACATATGTTTTGATATAGCTGAATTTTGAGCTCAGTAATGTACTATTAGAGAATCCTATATCCTGTAGTAGATGAAAATAATTTGATAATGTTGATAATGGAACCAATCTTTCTCTAGGTGGTACCTGGTCTGCCTGGGCCTCATGGTCTTCATGCAGCGTTGACTGTGTGAGGGTAAGGAGAAGACAGTGTTCAGGAAATAACTGCCAAGGATCCACACTACAACATGCTGCCTGTGTTGACGGATTATGTACTAGTGGAATGAGTAAGGAGACTTGTCAATATTTTATTATTCTTCTTTTGATTTTAAATACACTCTCAGACCGTTGTGCTAAGGTACCTAACTTACTTTAGTTGATTTTTTTATTTAAGTACCTAATAAAATAAATTACAATAATTGACAAACGGTTTGGGATAACTTACACTTATAGTTTTGAGTAGAGAGCAACATATTTACATTTTTTGTTCTTTTCTTTAGGGTTCTACACCAATAACACAACGCTGTACGTTGGTATTGGCATTACAGTTGCTATGCTGCTCGCTGGCGTAGCTATCTTATACGTCTGGTGCAAATACAGAGGCAGACCTGGATATTCTGCTGGCAGAATAGGTAATATCATTAATTTTATTAATTCACTAGCGCTTCTTAAATACCTTCACAATTAATTTTGATAGACTTTATTCATACATTCATCGTACCCATTATATTTGTCACTGTCTCTTATTCAGTATCACCACTACATTAACCATAATTTCATTGAAAAAGAGCACATTTACACGATATTCTCCCATATCTTTAAGCTGTTCGTACACTTAGGTATACCAAAGACACATTCAGGCAGGGACAAAGGGAGCGCGGCGCCAGACCTGACGAGGACCTGCAACGAGTACTGGATGCAGGGACCTGACAATCACTATGACATGCCACATGTCAGAGACAGGTTAGTTAAAACTTAGTTACTTGAATATTTAACCAAAAATGTTTAAAACTTTTTAGGGCTTCGTTTATTTCTCTTCGTTTCACATCCGTTCTTGCAAAATTGAAATAATACTTCGACCACGAGCAACTTAAGTATCCATCTCGATTCATATCTTCCCATAAACGTCCAAGAATTCAAATATTATTGCGCAATCCATTTTTATAGCTTGGGTTCGGTCTAATACTTACTTTCCCTTCAATACTACCTAAAGGCTTAAGTTCTGTTCCCCTAAAAGAAAAAAGATCGTAACATAAAAAGTGATGTTATGAGATATTGTTGTTTGTATAGTAATAAGTTTTCACATCCATTTGGTTTATGCGCCATTATTCTTCCACCCCTAGCTATTCATCCCCATTTGGGAACCGGAGTAGACATCAGTCGTCAGCCGGAAGTAACCATTACGAGATGAAGCCTTACAGCCCTTCCGGGGACTCTGCGTCCAGTTGTTATACCAACTGTAAGTATATTTTGATGATCATAGAAAAGAAATTTATCAAAATCGTTCAACAGCCCTGTTAAACAAACTGGTAATTAACTACATTCTCTGGAGAAATCTTATCTTCACATCCACACTAAACGGTTTTTGAAACCCTTTTTTTGTAAGAAGCAATATTTACCTGCGTTTTTGAAAGGTGGTAATTTGATACTTCTTAATGCAGCTGCTTATTTGACGTCTCGAATATTAAAGACTTTTTTTAGTGCATTGGGCTTTTGTTTATCGACTACTAGATTCGTTTTTAAAGTACCTTTTGCCTTATTTTCGAGTGGTAGAGATAGTAACTGCCATATTTTATACTTTAGAAACGAACAGAACAACAAACATTGATCGTATATTTTAACCGTAACATTAGGAAACAATTACAGATTTAATTTTAAGTATCAAAACCAACTATCATTACAGCTACTATAGTATCATTGTTGACCAATGAATGACACTCATTTAACATCTTTCTAATTTCAAATTTTCTTCCAGCAAGGACAATGACGTCACGGTCTAGTGAATGTTCATCTCAACTCGCAGAGCTCGTAACAGCATCACCTACCTCCATGTCAAAGGTGGATGTAGCAGTGACGTTACCTACAGGACATTTAGACACTAGCTATAGAGACAAAATTTGTTTGACTATTGTCAAGTAATTTCAGTTATGTTGTTTTGGGAGCTGTATTATAGTTGTCAAAGAAATTTGAACCTTAAAAATGTTTTGTTAAAATTAATTTCATTAGGATCAGATGATTGTGCAACTTGTTGACATTTATGTGTATTTAAAAACTGTGTTTTCTGTTTTAAAGATTTCTATTTGCTTTGGCCTCTTTACAGTTACCAGTTTCATCTATTTTAAAACAGTCTTGTATAACTGCCTTACCAGTCTAAAGGGCGATGTTTTCTGTCGTAACAGAACCAGAATTATGTAATGCTTGGTGTGTAATTATGTTCATCCGTACAGCCATTAACATATCTAATTTAATCACGATGCAAATGCTACTAAAGATACTCAAGGTAGATACTAAGGACTCAAAATGTAAAAACCAGTTTATCATGGTCTCCGCTTTCTATGATCGCTCCTAGTATTCAATGGTCGAGTTATACTGGTTGTGCATAGCTTGATGTGCATCTATATGCGTCTTCAAATACATATATGGAAAATTGTAATATGTTTTATCTCCAAAGGATGTATGAATGAAAAAAAGGTATTAATCAACTCATATTATTTATTTCTTTTTTCGTATGGATATTATTAGAAATTAAACTTCGTATTTTATTCGTATTTATTCGAAATTTACTTTATTTAGTTTATGAATTGGTACGGGTATTAAAATAGTTTTTGGATTTTGTTATAAATCTCTCTCTATAGAGATTATAGAATCGATCCCTCATATCTGAGGATTGTGGTCAGCATCGGGAAAAATTTTAAACGGACGCTCTTTCGATTCCGATCAACCGCGTCCTTCATAACTGTACAGAATTTGGTTTTCTAAATAATCAGTACCAAACATTTTCCGGCCTAATTTTAACAATAACAGATTTTGTGTTAAGAGAACAATAATTTCATTTAAAAGACTGAGTGGAATACAATGAAACAACTGCCAATTTGATACGCATTTACGTCTATTGTTTTGTTAGGTACTATTAAGCTTTGTAATATATATTCGACTGTTTACGTATTCAATGAAAATATTACCTTTATTAGTAGTGATAGTGTACAAAGTGCTACTTAGCGGGTGATATTGGCTTTTGATATTGATAGTGTATTTAGGAAACTAATTGCCATAACCTAAATGGACTTTTCAATGAACATCACGAGTGTGAAATCGTGTCTAATAAGTACATTGGTATAGCAATAGGCTTACCCCCTATTACATGGGACTCGTAAGTGATAATATAATTTGTGAAAGGTCACATTGGATTTGGGAATGTACGAAACTTCATTTAAAACCTTTTTACTATCATTTGTCATAGTTATAACACAAAACAAAAGTGACAAAAATGAATGTTTGTTCTTTAAACCACTGCGAAGCCTGTTAGGGGATACAGGCGTGATGTTTCAAGCTCGAAGGGGATTCAAAAATTACGTTTCAAGAGCATTTTGCTCTGTTTTCATAGCGCGCCTTTTTTCTTTTTATTTAATATGGCCTCCAGGCTTTGCTTGCTATGTATAGTGCCTATATAGAAGCTTCACTCTTTTCGAAGCAAAATGTCAATGATAAAATAGTTGATGTGTCGTTTGTAATATTTTCATTGAAAACGTAAGTCTTTAGTATAAGTCTACATGTAGATACTAACCGAATGTAAATTTTGTATTTAAATCTGTGATATTAAATAAATTAATTTGTAACATTTATTTTATTGTTTTATTTATAATATTACAGAAAACCGACGTGAAGCAATGCTTGCGTTGTGTTTCGTCGTGTGAGTGAGGTTACCGGAGGTCCAATTACCCTCCCCTTCCCCAATCTCCCCAATCCCTGTATCCCAACGATCCTCAAACTCCTAATCCCCAAAAAGCCGGTAACGCACTTGTAACGCCTCTGGTGTTCCAGGTGTCCATGGGCGACGCCGATTGCTTACCATCAGGTGATTCATCTGATCGTTTACCGGCTTATGCCATCAAAAAAATTGTTCTTCGTTTAATTATGCCCTATATAGTTTCTTTTTAAGGTTTTGTGAAATAATGACAAAATAATATTTATTACATATGCGTCTTACAAATGAAATCAGGTCTAACCATGGCGTCTAGGTACTTTTCATACCCCATTATTAAGAGATACTTCGGAATTACAGGTTCAAATCCTGTTCCTGTCCATTACCACTCAATATCACTTACCTTATTTACATAAGTACATGAGTCAAAACAGAATAAATTACTTAAAGGTATTCTAAAATAGAATTATATTAAGCACGCTCAATAGCTATTAAATCATAATTATTCTATTAATAAAATTCTGAAAAATGAAACGCTTGTCGATTTGAAGCATGCTCGACATTAGCATACTAATTTTGACATCCGACACGCATGCTACTAAGTGACAAGTAAGTGACTGTCCAATCACGGCAGCTGTCAGATATTGAACGTCCAATAGTGTGACACTAGCTAATTCCCTATTGGACGAAAAACGAGAAGGGAGTACTAGCGACATCTAGTGAAAAAAAATACGGTAGGCCCTATTGAAGCTTGTTATCGAGCTTGATATTAGCATATGTACCAGTACTTAAAGATAAATTCACTGTGTAACAAACACCACTTTAAGTAATAACGATCGAATGAATCGGACCATTTTTATACTATACGATTATTATTCACACCGACTGGTAACTAGGTGATTTCATGATATTTTCCCAACAGTATCGTGTTACAATAAGTGCTAGATTGCGTTATCTAGTAGCAATATGGTAATTACTGTTTATACCTAGCTATTTTGGTCGAGAATCATGATTACGAAGCAAGGGGTCTTAGCTGCGAGTCCTGGGTCCTGCAAAGAGTTATTTGTTTTTTTTTTTAATTAACAAAAGTTTCTCACAAAACATATTGAAATGAATATTAACTCGTCGAGTACCGGTTTTGCAGACACAATTATAGAACAATAGGTTGCGGTCACCGGTGACCGCTTGGTGTTTGACAGTTTAAAATAATGACAAATGCCTATTATAAAAGACGTATGTTGTAGGTATAACAGAGCTGGAGGTTTTTTTTTAAATGTTGCCCCACACTAGTATTTTCTCCTGTGTCGTGGGTGCGTTTACAAACATACAAGTTCACATACACATGAAACCCAGACCCGGAACAATAATCTGTGAATCACACAAAGAATTGTTCCTTGCGGGAATCGAACCCGCGACATGTTGTGCGGCAGCCATTTGCCCAGCCACCGCGCCAACGGTGCAGTCGTTTTGCAATTTGTACTTAATATGTGTACTACTGCTTATCCTATCCCGGCATACTATGTCTAGATATCTTCCTAAGCATATCACATTACATTGACAAATGCTAGATACGTTATCTACCGCCAGTATAGCTACAAGACTTATCATTATGATCTTTAGCCCTGCACTTTGAGGTTCGTCATTAGCAACACTTTGACCACATCCATTCAACCGAAGCTCTACATAGCACTAAGTATATATACGGTAGCTAACCTTAATGGCTGGATATTAATCGTACGTATCTAATTACTGCGGTGGAACTCAACGGGGTAGACTGGCCGGTGTATGGGGCTTGGCTGCGAAAGGATATTGTTCAGAAGTATCACTGATTAAATGAAAAAATGTTTTTAGTTGTAAGTATAAAAATTGGCAATGGGTCAGTAATTACATTTATACATCTAGATAAAATTAGAGTATCTGTTTGTAACATTGAAATAACCGTTTTTTACTACTGCATGCAATTACGAATATACATACGATATCAAACGATATGATACGGAAATAATTTTTATTACAATTTTTATCTATCTATCTTTGTGTTTGTTTTTGCTAATCTCTGAAATGTCTAAACCGATTATGATGGGCCTTTTATTGGCAGATAGCTGATATACTAAGGAGTAACTCAGGCGATTTTGTTTACGCGAATGAAGATGCGAGTACAGCGCGTAAGTGGAGGATTGTGCCCTTCTTTGTACCCCTCAGTTTTAGATTAGAAACATTAGAAGTTCCCCATTGATCATCGGAATCATCTATTTATAATGTTTAATATTATCTATTTTTTCCCTAAATTACGGCACTAATACCCCTAATGCCCCTTATTATAGGTATTGGTTGATAAAGATTTCCATTTTTTTATGGAATAGGAGGCAAACGAGCATTCGGGTCACCTGGTGGTAAGCGATCAGCGCCGCCCGCCACACCCGCAACACCAGAGGAGTCACAGGTGCGTTGCCGGCCTTTTAAAAAGGAATACGCTCTTTTCTTGAAGGTTTGGAGGTCGTATCGGTTCGGAAATACCGCCGATGACAGATCATTCCACAGTTTTGAATATATAATGAACAAAAATTCAAAGTGGATTTACTGAACTTGCTGCCTCATGTCCGCCTGCAGTATGATCGCATGTCCATATGTCTGTTACGTCAATAACCCCACCCAAGTGTTCGATCACCCAATAAAAATTAACCACTTAAAATTATGTTTAAAATGCTTTCAAATCATAGATAACAACTATTAATGAAATGGGACGCTGTTTATAGGTCACGACTTGAAGAAGACACATGGCTGTGTGATAGTTTTAAAAGATTTTATTTATTTTTTAGAGAACATAGGAATGTTCAATATTTTTGTAATTAAGGCTCTTGTGTAGGTGCACCGTAAACATTATTGTGTGTTTGGAAAAAGTATTATTTTATCAAAAGTTTCTGCAAATTCATTTAGTAATAAAATATTCTGTCTTACAATTACAATACTTCTTTCTAAACATAACATCACGCCTTTTTATCCCCGAAGGGATAGGCAAAGGTGCACATTTCGGCGCTTAATGCCACTGTACAATGTTACACCCGTTTTTCACTATTTATGTTATAAGTCCCATGTAATTGGGGCTGAGCCTATTGCCATATACCGGGCACATTTCCAGACGCCGTGCTACTACCGAGATTTTTCTTAAAAAATCCAGTAATACTTTGTTCGACCCGGGAATCGAACCCGAGACCCCTTGCCCGGCAGTCGCACTTGCGACCCACTCGGCGAACGAGGCAGTCTTAGCAATACTTCTTCTTGACCAGAAATATAGTGACTACTCAATTACACGATCAAAATAAGTATCCTGTCGTGTCGTTTCCGTGACGCGACGTATAAAGTTGCATCCTCGAAGCAACAAATCAAAGCTATTTCCGTATGAGTCCATTTGTCAAATTGTATGAGTAAAACAAGTTCAAAGTTTCTGTAACTGCTCACATTTGTCACTTTTAACTCACTAATTGGGACACTTTAAGTACCTCAGTGTTATATGCGGAGATACAGATTTTTCACTTTTTAGACACCCCCTGTATTTATGGCCTTTTTGACTTATTTAATTGTTTGAGCTTTCTGAGAAGTTTACTGTTCGTGTTTTGTAATTCGATTTTAATTTGTGTTGTAGTTAGTGGGTTTATTTTTTAATGTTAACTTCAGTGTTATAAGTATTTTTTTTTTATGAAATTAATTCTGGATTTCTTCTTAGTCGTTCTTTTCATTACTGAAGGTTGTGTCTAGTCTGGTACACGCGTCATTTGATGCACAACCCTGCTTCGAACGCCCTTGACCTCTGTAGTCTTTATGGCTTGTGGAATTGTCAGGCCGG